GTGAACGCCAAGTACTCGTCGCGCATGGCCGACCTCTTCACCGAGGTGTACAACTGGCTGCCGCTGTGCCACGTGCTGAACGGGCGCGTGTTCGTCACGCACGGCGGCCTGTTCTCGCGCGACGGCGTGACGCTGGCCGAGCTGCGCGCGCTGGAGCGCGGCCGCCAGCCGCCCGAGGAGGGCCTGATGTGCGAGCTGCTCTGGTCGGACCCGCAGCCGCAGCGGGCCGCGGCCCGTCCAAGCGCGGCGTCGGTTGCCAGTTCGGGCCTGACGTCACCGACGAGTTCGTGCGCACCAACCGGCTCGACTATGTGGTGCGCTCGCACGAGGTGAAGGCCACCGGGTACGAGGTGGCGCACGGCGGCAAGTGCATCACCGTCTTCTCAGCGCCAAACTACTGGTGAGCCCTGGCCCAGCCACTGGAGGGCTGGTCTGCTCTGACGGGGGGGGGGGAGGGGGCTTCGCGTGACGTGGGCCGTGCTTTGCGCCTTAAAACTGAGCGGTGTGAGAGGCACGGAGAGAAACTCACGTTGTGGTTTGTGGCCATTTTTCCATGGGTGTAATAGTTGGATATTAGGTATTTGTAATCTGGGTCAAAGTAATTTTTGTCCGCATGTAGCGTCTGCGAAGGCGGTCGGTTGTCTGCACAAATATCTGAATGCTGAAGAGTTAATTGCCAGGACAACGTTACTCTGACCACTGCATATATGCAATAAGTTTAAACAGCCCCATTCTGACCTTTTAGTGTAAAACCTAGTTAGGGTAAGTTGAAGACCAGCTATTTGAATGTTCGTGACTGAAACTATTCTCACGTCAGGATAAGCAGCTGATGCGTAATTTGTTTCATTACCAGAGGGTGTGGGTTCCGTATTTGCTCTCGAGGGTGTGTCGTGTTTTGAGATAATTGACCAGAGCGTCGCGTTCCCTTCGTTGATGTAGCCTGCGCTGTGCTTGCGTGACTGGCAACGTCTCGTTTCAGTGACACGATGAACAATAAGGGAGCGTTCATCACCATGACAGGAGGGGACATGACGCCCAAATACACTACTTACGAGGCTGTGGTAAGAACGTGTGCTCTGCTGGAATTGGACGATTACAAGTAGCGTTACTTGTCAGCGTAGCATTGGCTGGAAGTGTAGTGCTCGTCGCCCCTGATAGAGCAATGAGGGCCCTGAGCTCTTTTTTCGGTGTTATGAGGTCAGAGTTTCGATGCCAACAGTTTCCGACGTCCAGTATACCGGGAGGTGCTGTTAAACGACGTTATCAGCCAAACCTTTTCAATAGAGCGAATGTGAGCATGGTCCGCGAACCAATACTGTAACGAATGTTCGCTTTATAACGCCGCTAAACCAGTACCTCCTGGGATAACAATCAACACCTGTCACCATAGGACCCCTGAGCTCACAAGACATAGGCTCTGAAGGGGATGTCAAAAATTTTCTCATTTTCTTAGTGGTGTGTTATATTTATATACCAGGGATAGAACTGCTTGAAGATCATCTACCCCATGTTTCTTCTTGACTGCCTCTTTTTACCTCGCTATCTCTTTGCGATTGCGAACGATAACGATCGTCAGTTGTTTCTTTCGTTGTAAATTGTGCTGGCTAGTTGAGACCGGCCATCTAAGCGTGTACCAACCCGGCGGCCGCCGAGACCGCCTCTCCCTCCGGAAAGTCAGTCCCCACCCCACCCCCCCCCTGCTGCTGCCCCGCTGAGTCGTCCCCTCTGCCGCAGCCGCACCCGAACGTGAAGCCGATGGCCTACGCCAACTCCCTGATGAGCATGTTCGTCTAACGTCGGCGGCTCTAGTCGGAGCGCGGTGCCGCCGCAGGACGCTACGCCGCGGGCGGCGCTCGAGGGGACCAAGCGGCGCGGCCGGTCGGGGCGCCGCGCCGCCCCGCGCCGCGCCGCGCCCCGCCGCCGGTGGACGCCGGCCCCGGCCGCGGGCGCGCCCTCCGTCGATGTGTTGGTCGGCTGTCGCGCCGCCGCCGCCGCCGCCGCCGCCGCCGCCGCCCGCGCGCTGACGTACGCCGTGCGGGACGCGCTCGTTTTAGTGTGGCGCGCGCGCGGCGCCGACGAGCCGTGTTTACGCCGGTGAGCTGGAGTCGCGCCGCTCTGGTGGGCGTGTGCTCCGATGCGCCGGTGGTTTGAGCGGTGACGTCACGCCCCCCGGTAGTCCGATCCACCCGGAACATCCTCACATAGTCAGCTGGAGACTGCCCGGCTCGCAGGGCGGTTGCAGTCATTGTCTTTAGGGATATGGCAATGCTGCAGCGCCTTTGTACAAGTGAGTAGTGAACCATATTTTGTGGGCACACTGCGTTGCGGGCAGTCGTTCAGCGCCGTCGACTTCAGCTGTCCATGGATATGAACTGCGGTCAAAGTCTGTACCACTAGTGTCTGTCGACCTCGCGAGGTGACAGCACCATCGATCCACCATTGCCTCATGCTCGGCGCGTTGCCTGTAGCGCCGCTGGGTCTCACCACTGACCGTCCTCTCTCCGGGGCCAGCCCCGGCTCTGTCTGTGCCGACCCCGCGCTCTCTCTAGACGCCGACCCTCTACCCGTCCAGTGACCCACCCGACCCGCCCCTCACGTCGAGCGCTGCCGGCGGCCCCTGGCGGAGCTGCCTCGTCCAAACGTGACCGTGTTGTGTACCGCGCTCGTACCGCAGCAATAAACGGGCGGGCGTGACCAGCGTCGGTGAGTGAGCACGGCGCCAGCTGACGAGCGGCGGCTCGCACCCCCGCTGCACCAGTGCGGGGAGCAGAGACTTGCCGGCCGGCCGGCGGTCGGCCGCCCGCGACAGGAGCGTTGCGACGCAGCGGCCATTGAGGTGGCCTCTTCTGAACAGAAATTGACGTCCAGTGAACGACAACCTCATGACCGTGCTTGGAGGGACAGCGTCCAAGTCTGGAGATGCCCTATTTCGGATGTGATTGAGCCATTGGTTTATCCACTGACACGTCTCAGCGCTGGTCTATTTGCAGCCATATCTTTACGGAAGAGTTGCAGTGAGGTGGAGGTAATGCAAAGCCAACGCAACTCGTGAGCGCAGGGGAGGGGGGCGTTCGAGGGGCCAAAAGGGCCTTCAGCATGTTAAAAAAGAACGTGTGTCTAGACTCTGGGTCATGAGGAGGGTGAAGCTGAGTGGTGTTGGCTGCTGGACGACAGGGCCGGCCATTTAACAGTCAGAAAGTCATCAGTAGCAGGGGGGCCCTTGATCGGCCAGGCGAACTCTTGAGCAGCCAAAATGCCCATAGCGTGTACCCACCCAACGTAACAAACGCTTGACGGTCTAGAAAAAGCTACCAACGGTTTAAAAATACCCTGATGAAGTAGGTCTGCGCATACCTGACATGCAGACTTGGTGGCCTTACGTGACTGTGCTGACGGACGTCCAATGCTTTAGTTGCAACCAGCTTGCAGGCATGCTTATCCAGATCCACCATTACGTGGATTCTCAGACGGGAGCCTAAAGTTACGTAGACCGGCGTGCTGTTCTTTTTGGACTGTGCAGTTCTTTTTGGATCGCACCCTTTTCGAGATAATGGTCACCGGACTGAACGATGCCAAGGTTACCTAATGACGAACTAATGTTGATACTTGCCTTATTTGATCGTCACGTTTTTCACAATAACCCTATGCTACAGCGGGCTGCGTATGGTGATTTCCTCGACAACACCATGTCGAAGGCGCTTCGCGTTGAGAACAGGCAAAACATACATGCTGGTGGCTTATTATCGACGCGTGATGCAACGCTTCGGAGGTGCATCCTTATATCACTTTCACACGGGTGAAGTAACATTCATAGGTCCTGCAAATATAAAACGGGTATAGATTCACTAATTTCCCATGTGAACCATATTTTACCCACCAGATGACAAGCGTCGTTTACGCAGCCATATCTGCTGACCATGCCAACCACCAGTCACAAGGTTTCCCAGCCATCGTATGGCCGCTGGAACAGCTGACTTGTTGCCATCTGCTCAGCTGAATGTGGTCCTTCGATCCGTCAACATGTAGCTCCATCCACAGGCATGCGACTGGCCTTCCGTGTGACCGGCCTTCTCGTCCTGTTCGCGGTCAACGCGCGCGGTCCGCGGCGTGGGCAAGACAGGCGGCAATAATTCTACTGCGCGCAAGGTTCGAGATGCCTTCGCTCTTCCATATGCTCAGCATACCTGAGTAAACATCTGTTTTGGGAGTGGGTTCGTACACGCACCCTCTAAGCATCGGGATGCTACTAACTATACCTAGCGGTTAGACAAATGCCATAATGCAGGACTAGGCTACATCCGTGCTACTTCGCTACCCTATCATGGTTATCATGTTATCGTATTTGTGCAACTGTTAACCCATTTGAGCATGTGCGTTTGAAGTGATTGGGCCCGTAACAAGTTTAAAAAATAATAAATTCATGGAAAGTCGCAGAGTTCTTCCGACTCCAGCTCGTAGATTTCTGTTTACCAGGCGTCGTTCTCTACGTTACGTCAATGCCGCAGCATAGGTTTATCTTGAGTCTAACAGGAGATGATCGTCACATAGTGACTATGAGATTTTTAATATTCTTAAATAGAGCAGGCAGTTTTGTTCCTATCATGATTGCGAGCTCAGCTGAGGAGAAAGGTGTAAAAGGAGCACGTCTGCGTTGTTCGACATTTCCAGTGGTGAAAATCAAAATTTGGACTCGTAATTCACGCCTTAACCAAGAGAAAGGCAATTTTACAACTTTTTTGGTAGGCCCAATCTCTTTCACCAAGCAATGAATGGTGGCATGAGGGCCAGATGGCTCGAATTCCCTACTGGACGGCTTGACGTAACTACGCGCGCCTGAAGCGCCCCAGCGACCGCATAACGCCCGCTTCAGTCGGCTTTGTGGAGCGAGTCTCGTCGCTCCAGCTGCTTGCCTGGGGCGAGGTGTTCGTCACCGCTGTGGCGAGGGCTCTATGGCGGGATGCCTGCCTGCTCAGCCGCCAGGACACTTGTCGACACTACACTGCGGCGATGGTGTGCTCCTCCAGCGTTGCCGGCTCAGCCGCCAGGACACTGTCGGCACTACACTGCGGCGATGGTGTGCTCCTCCAGCGTTGCCGGCTCAGCCGCCAGGACACTGTCGGCACTACACTGCGGCGATGGTGTGCTCCTCCAGCGTTGCCGGCTCAGCCGCCAGGACACTGTCGGCACTACACTGCGGCGATGGTGTAGCTCCCTCCAGCGTTGCCGGCTCAGCCGCCAGGACACTGTCGGCACTACACTGCGGCGATGGTGTGCTCCTCCAGCGTTGCCGGCTCAGCCGCCAGGACACTGTCGGCACTACACTGTGGCGATGGTGTGCTCCTGCCGGCTCAGCCGCCAGGACACTGTCGGCACTACACTGCGGCGATGGTGTGCTCCTCCAGCGTTGCCGGCTCGGCCGCCAGGACACTGTTGGCACTACACTGTGGCGATGGCGTGCTCCTCCAGCATTGCCGCTAGCTCGTGCGGGTCCTCCATCGGGTCAGCATTTTGCTGGGTCTTCTTAGCTGTGGAGGAGTCGCCGCATTGATAAAGTAAGCACACTGCTGTGAGGGAGATGTATAGCCACGACAGGCACGAGTGAGCATGAAGTAGGTCAGCTGGGATGCACTTGCCTGCTGTACTGGATATGGAATGGTTGGTGGCAGTTTTACGACTTACTGGCATTACGAATGATCAAAACATGCTGTTCGTCGTACTCGTTGGAAAAGGACAGGCGGCATGAAACATGCACGGGCCCGAGCAAGTCTGGCCCGAGCAAAAGACAGCCAAACAAGCTGTAACATCCCTGCCACAATCTGCAGGAGTGGAGAGCACCGTTACCAGGGGAGGGGGCGCCAGGAACTGACCACGTTGGCGCTCCTCTCGTTGGGAGATCCTCTGACGGAGGCAGCCGTAGTAGACGATGGCGTAGAGCACGCCGGCCACGCCGCTGCCGATACCCATGGTCCGGAAGGTGAAGGCCGGTCCGGACAGCGCCATCAGGTAGCCGCCGATGAAGCTGCCGACGCCGCGGCCTGGCGGCACGAGGAGGTCGTGGCTGCTGCGTGTCGCATGCTCTCAGCCCATGTGAAGGTTCTCTAGCACCATGTGACGGCATAGTCGTGCGAGACCACGGACAGGTTGACCACATGTCAAGGCTGCGAGCAGGCCGGCCGCGAAGCGTAATGTGTCAGATTTCGCAGCGCCAGGATACTCGAGACGAGGTGTGTGCCATACCGTCACACCAGCTGGCGGCGGCGACCGGCCCAACCCGGCACATGGTATGGTGCAACTGGCGGCGGCGACCGGCCAAACCCGGCACATGACACGGTGCAGCTGGCGGCGGCGACCGGCCAAACCCGGCACGTGGTATGGTGCAGCTGGGGCGTTCGTCACTGCTCGAAGTCGACGACGTGGCTGCCGAGTCGTCACCGGGACACATTAGCCCCCCCCCCCCCCCCCCCCCAGCTGGCTGACACTAGGCCAGGGTGACCGCCGGCGGTTAAGCGTGCGTGAGTCAGTGTTGTTCCAGACGTGCGTGCTTCGGCACCTCAGTACCGCGAGCTTTCCTTTTCTCCTCGCTCACGCGGTCGGCCCGTTAAGTCAGGTCAAGTCGGTCGGTCAAGTCAGGGTACGTTCAAGAGGAAGGGCTAAAGAACACCGTCTTAGAGATCCCGCGATCCATGGCCGAGTAGCAGTCTTAAGAGTGACGCCAAGAGAGTGACGTCGCCACGAGTGACGTTATCGCGAGTGATGTCATCACGCGACGAGTCCTCGGATTCCTGCTGCCACGCTGTCATCTCCCGCCATCTTAGAAGCCGTGTCCCGCTCGTTCAACACCCAATCTGAAGAAGTCCCTGTCTTTCCCGCGTATTTATTATGCTTCCTATGGTCCCCCATGACCCCCATACGAGTTTGTAGACGCGGAGGGACCGCCAATGAATATACATGTTCGCAAATACGCCAAGCTGGTCGTTATGCTACCTGCAAGACAAAGCCCCTCTCGATCGAAGCTCATAGATACATCATTCCTTTCCTGGCGGGGCGAAGTCCGAGGGAGTAAAAAAGAAAGGCTTGATGAGAAGCCCTGGTGCTGCTGGGGACGTACCATTAGAATGTCGCCATCCATCGCCGGTTGTCGCAAAAGCCAACGGAGGACTCTGAGTTTGTCATGCTGGGCATGAGTCGGCATGACACACTCAGATCAACAGGCCAACGATCGTTTGCATCCTGGGAACATCCCGACAAACGCCGTACCTGTACTTCTCTCCAAGGGTCGCAGTTTTTCACGGACGCGACATGCTGCCATTGGGTACTGGTAGCCACCTTTGAAGAGGAAGTTTAAACCCGGGGAACATTTTCGTGCCGAGATCACGACAAAGGTTCCGGTCCCTTAGAGCTCCGATCAGCCTTATAAACACAAGTGGTGGATGCTGATGCTGCTTGAACACTCGAACTCATCTGGTAACGGTGACGGGGCCTGCCGTCACTCATATCAGGAGGACTGGCAGATAGCAGGAGGACTCTCTCTTATAGCAGGAGGACTCGCAGATAGGATCAAGCTTTCATAATGCCCTCCAGCCCACTGGTTTATGATCACAAGCTGACGGTGCATGAGATGTTGGAAGCATTCATCACATACGAGGCATATGAGCTCCTGGTCTCTCAGATGCCTTGGCGCTGTGAATGTCTCCGCGTTCTCAAGTATAACACGTGGTCGAAAGGAACGCATGAGAACACATATTTAGTGAAGCCCTTGGGATGCGATGAAGCATTTGGTCCACACGTCCTGGGATATCACGATGAGCTCAGCATGCTCAGGCTACGTACCAAAGCTGTAGTGCAGGGCTCCAGCCAGTCCGGTGAGTGTAGCCAGCAGCCCAGGCGGCGCCAGTTGTCCAGCGTAGGTGGCAGCACTATTCCACATCAGGTGAGTGGTGACCACCTCCAGCAGCTCGAACGGGAAGCACAGCCAGGGATTTCTGACAGGAAACAAGTTGCGACGAGGTTAAACGCGTGTGAAACAGCTGACAGAGGATTTTTCTCCTTAAAAGATGGCATACGTGGGTGTGGAGGCATTGGCATCTCGACCGCGTACGGAAAGCCGCGGGTTCGACGCCGACTCCTTCCAAGAGTTTAGTCAGCCTGCGGCAATCGGCGTGAAAGGCGATACCGTTCGCCTCTCTCATGAAGCTGACGTCACGCCTCTCCTAGTCTGCCACACTTTTGCCGACACAATTCTCAGTTGTCTCCCCGTCAACATTGGCTATTCCTATTTTGCTGTAGCGCTAGTCTCGGGCGCAAAATGGCCGCTGCTGTCAACGCGTCCCTAAGCCCAGATAACTGGCTGACGCCGGACTCCTGAAATTTGGACCCGTTTTTTGACGCGCGTGGTTCATATCTTTCTTGTGGTTTAGCAATTGTACGTCTCGCATATCCCTCAAATGGGCAGGCAAAATAGTGGCGACAGGCGTTTTCCACCTGCGTCGCTGCGGGACGACGCGACACCGCTGGCATCAGTGACGTCACGGGTGGCACCACTGACGTCACGGATGGCGCCAGTGATGTCAGGATGGTGCCAGTGACGCCATGGTGACGCCACTCGTGACGCCATGCGGACTTGTGTCTCAACGTGAGGTAGATCTAAGTTAAGATTTATAAGCTGTTTACCACCGATGGACCACTCCGACACACTGCTCTCGCAACGCCGTTCTCCGCACCCGCGACCTCCAAAAGACATTTAGCCGTGGTCGTTGCTTGCTTTGCTGCGCGTAGGGCCAGCGTCGTGGCATTGATAGGACGCCGCCTCCAGCCACAAACATTCCTTCTCGCCTTGTGACGTGGTGTGTCCCTCGCAGTGCATTGAGTCTGTCAGGATCTGAATGAATTAGCATTTCCCTGCTTTGAGGAGCTAAACATATCTCCCCTCGAGCTTTGCAGCATGTTTTCGATCACCTCGGCTCTGCAGACTTGCTTCTCATGCATATCGATCTGCATGCATGACGCGTGTACGGGCTTATCCGGGCCCTTCTCCCGTCTGCCGTCGGTGTCACTGTCCTGGCCTGGCCGTCCCCCCCCCCCCCTGGCTGACTGAGGACTGGCCGCATGACTGCTTTGCTGCACGTTTATGGATCAGTATCACCACTTATCGGTGTGTAAAGCATGTATATTGATACCTGCTGCACCATTTATTTTCTCGTGAATTCTCGTTACACCATGCCACATCAGAAAACAAGCCTTCGAGAAGCTTAAACCAATTCGGCTTTAGGTATGAATGGGTCTACCAGGCACTCATTTGCCTCTCATTCAACGAAGCCCACGTAATCTTCTTTTGTACATAGACAGAGGATTAGCTAGAGGCTTGCCAAAGGGGGGGGGGGGGCAGGGCACAGGGTTGACAAAGACCTCCCTGACGATTAACGGCCTTTTGCCCCCAAAATATCCGGATGTAGCCCACTTGTTCATCAGGTGCACGGTTTTCTTCGTTTAATTATTATTTTACCTGGCGACCAGAGCGGAAATAAAAACCAAAAGGCACCGCGAGACCAATTCTGCATGTGCGTTTTAAGGTCAATAACTTGCAGAAATCAGACGTTCAACGTTTGCATGAAATAAAGCAGCGGCTAACTTCACTTTACAATGGTTCCAGTGGATGCTTTCTAAACCGAAAAAAAAAATCGAGAAAATTTGCAAATTTGTTTGGGTGGACGTAGGTATAGAGGACTCCCTGAACGTAGATTGTAAGAAATAACGCTGGATATTTCGAGCTGTGCGCTCATCCTCAACAGTCAGAAAGGGGATGGGCTCATGAGGATAAGCACAGCCCGAAATATTGAGCACCGTTAACATAATCGGTATTAAGCACTACAACGCTGTTTAACCAGCGCATTTCCTTCGTGCCGTTTACTTTAAACAAGAAACTCCTACCCCATAACGTTAATTAACGTTGGATATTTGTGTTTCCCAGACTCTTTCTGGTCCTGTTCTGTTTTGCTGACACGTTCGGCAGCACACGCCTATTTACGCATGTTACTTCTGTGTTTAATGTGTATTTATCATGCCTGCCACTTCGGTACTCACAGCAGTAGTTGCTTGGGAGCAACGCATAACAATTTTCTGGGTAAGTAGCTTTGCAGCGCATCTTTTCTAAGCGTGACGTTTATAGATGGATAGAGAGAGAGAGAGAGAGAGAGAGAGAGAGAGAGAGAGAGAGAGAGAGAGAGAGAGAGAGAGAGAGAGGAGAGAGAGAGAGAGAGAGAGAGATATATATATATATATATATATATATATATATATATATGAATAAATACGCCACTGGCATTACACCGGCGCATTTTATGTGGTAGAACGCACGGTTATACATTTTTGTAATTTATTGGGGGGGGGGGGCGAACCGAAGGCCTAACACCTTACCCCCACCTTATTTTTTCTCACCGGATTTAGCCCACTTTGCTTAAATTAAACGCAATATACGTGTTAAATGTTTGGATAATTTATAGAAGTCTTCAATTCAAGCAGTATAGAAGTCATGCAGGGCTGGATCCAGGGGGTAGGCGCTGGACGCACGCGCCTCTTCTGATCGGCACGTAAAAGCGCCCCTTTAGAGGCCACCTTAGGGCGCTGATGGCGCTCTTCTGTGACGGTCATGGGAGGCAGCATGCATTTTGGTTGTGAGGCACGGGGACGGGGTTAGCCAGAAGGACTTAGGTCATACCCATATTCCAGAGCTTTTCACTTTAAGCTCACAGATCATTGCGTGTCTTATGGCGCTAGGTATGTGAAGTTTATTGCATTGTTTATCCGTTCAGCTGTTACGATCTTCACCTTGTGGTGAGAGCAGCCATGACTTTTTGCTATGAGAATGGTACGAGACGTCACTACGCAGAAAAATTAAAGAAGATAATCTTGTGTATGGTCATCTATTACCCACGTTTTTTGTAGCATTCCAGCACAAAAAGTGGGGGGGGGGGGCAGGCCAGCATTGGGAAGGGGGGCAACTCGACATCGGGGGGAGGGGCAAGGCCCTCACAGAAGAATACAAATCGTCACCCGTGGTAGAAGGTCAGATGGTCAAGCCCACCGTGTACATTTCGCGGCAATTGATGCAATCTGTGCTGTATGTCAGGCTAAGAAATGTGTACATGTTGACAGACGGATAGCCAGACAGACATAACCGTAGCAAACAAATTAGGTGCAAATGGAATTCCCTTGCACTGACGACGAACTGTGCAAAGAGATTTATGCCGCCCCGTGATTGGGGGGTATGCACGGCCTTAGGGTAGCGTGAGCCAGTGATACTAGTTTAGAGTCAACGCTTGTGTAGTCAGCGGTAGACACCTCAACGTGTCCAGCTGGGACCAGGATTTGCCAACTACGTGCTAGTGGACCGGAAGGAAAATGCGCGAGGCAGTGTAGTACATAAAATATCTTGTAACACCTGCCAAGGGATATTTTATGTACAAAAAACAGCGCGTGGCATTTGTAACGGGGGCGTCACTCGATATACTTTCCGGGGGGAGCCCCTCCCAATGCAGCTTCAGCCCCCCCCCCCCCCCTCTAACGCTTTCATCCGCCGCCTCAATGCATGTGAGCAGAGGGAATGCTTGGATAGATAAATGGAGAACGGTTATCTCGACTATTAGTATACTTGGTAAAAGGTAACTACATACATTATTAGCATCATGTTTCATGTACCAAATAGTATCCTGTATGCACCTTGTGTTATATTATGCAACTCCTTATTATGTTAGGCCAGTCTGTATATGTTTGACAAGTTTTTTTTCTGAAATGATAACGCCTGGATTGGGATAAAAAAACAATTGGTCACCATATACGGTGGCTTTTAAAAGTAACAGGGTAGTTCAGATGAAAAATAACGCATGTTTACCCAACATGGCAAGCCCTATTTGTCCTATAATCGTGGCTATGGTGATTGCACAACACGATTGCCGACCGTGGCAGTCGTCAGAAACCGCCTACTAAATTTCACTAAGGATTTTTTCCGTGAATGACATCCTATTCTAAGCTTTTCCACGACAAGGCGGCTCACATTTACTTGAAAGGGAGCTCACTCCTTCGCATGAAAACAATTTCGAATCTACGCAATCTAAAGGAATGTATTCTATGCAGCCTTAAATTCAAGCGGGCCGAAATCCGGGAAGAAATCAGGTTTGGGGGCAGGTTTGGTCAATCCATACGGCTGAGCCCCTAAAAACCGACCTCAGAAAGTGGTGCCTCTGATATGTGGCCCCTTTCATTAACTCCTTGGAGACGTACATTAAGGTAAGCATACTCACCGCCAGGGGAGCACACGATAGACCAACACGCAACAGAAGAGCGTAGTGCAACAAATATCAACTTTTAAAAAGTTGAGCGGCTGCCGATGAACGCGCGGGTCTCAAGGCCTTGGAGCCGCTACACGTTCGTTGTCATCGTCCAAGGCTGAACGCACAAACCTAATCATGGAACCTAGTGTGGACACAATTTGCTATGTTTTAACACGCGCTCGGTTGGGTGTCAAATCAACCCCCGAAGGTTTTTCCAGAATGGTTTCCGAACGGCGCGGCGTAGCCACACCAAGTTTTAAACTGCAGACAATTGACTAGCTTTAATTGAAAGCTGTAGACAATTGAATAGCGACTGGTTTGGTATAACAAATTGAGATGTACCTCATGACGTCGCTGACCTATGGCGCTTCAGTCAGGTCATGGTTTCAGCGAGGTCAGCTTTTAGCGATTTGTTCAATCTGATGCAACAACGAGGTGTTTGACGTTAGTACACATACGTCTCTGAGATGCTTTCTGAGGCAGCACAAACACTGAATGAGCAAATTACGTTGGCCTTAAGTCAGGTATGAAGTTCAGACCAAGGTCAAACCCAACCTGTTTTATTACTCTAGGGTTCGCTGTATGGGATAGTTTCTGGTGCTTATTTCGAATTTATCGATTGCAGGAACACCATTATGCATCTTCCATGGGCTTTTTAGAGGTCAGAATAGGTCATTGACCTAAAATGACCCGGGTCAACATTTTGTTTTTGGAAACATACTGCCTAGCGTAATTTTTGTCTTGTATTCAAATGCAAAACTCAGAGCAGTTTTCTATGATTTTGGTCCCCATGACCCTTAAATAGGTCAAGCGAGGTCACTGACTTTAAATGAGCAAGTGACCTTTCGCTTTGAAACAGCTACTTATGTTCTGGGAGTGCTTTAGTGGTCAACCTGGATTCTGACTTCGTTTGACCTTATTCGACGCAAAGGTCATGACCTAGGAACCTCAAACTTTGACCTAATTGAGGTCACGTTTAGGTCAACACACCCTGTAAATTTGGTGTCTCTAGCTTTTTTAGTCCCCGAAATCTCCGGGGGTCATATTGACCCCCCCCCCCCCTACACCCCTCACCCAAGTGAAGGGTATCCAGTCGGCCACACGGGTGCGTGTTAAGTTAAGACAGCACTAATAGCCTTATTCTTTGTAGAAACTCAGGAGAATGGAAAGACAGATGCATTTATATCTTGGATGCATTCCTTTATCGAAACGAATATCAAATAATTCGTTTCAATGAAACCACGTAGCCAAAGTATCAATATTTCTGTCTTCCAATTCTCCTAGGTTACCCTACGAGGAATAAGGCTACTAGCACTGTCTTATCTATATGCATAATTTTATTCGCAATGCACTTAGTGAATGCAATGCACTACGTAAGTCTTAACTTGCTTTATTGTTAAGGTCGTCCAAATGTACGCAGTGGCACCCACCCACTGAATACGCTGTTCAATGCCCGCTGGCTTTCAAAACTAATTGTATTGAATAGCACGTCTTCGCAAGGCTGACCCGAACGCAGGCATACTGCTGTGTAACCAACACTCTTATCTCTCAGTCCTCTTACGAGCAGATGCATCAGTTAGCTTTATCAGACGTGTTTGTGGCACAGAGCCACCACGAAACAGCAAAAAGCTGCGCTTCTTAAAAGTCACGAGGTCACTGGGTGCGCCAGAGTCACCTCACAGTTAGAGATACCCAACACACCGCAATCTGCACAACGGTGTACCGACAGTTCAGTTTTTGTAAACTCGGCCAGGCTTGAAAAGCAGGTGGTGCCTGTGGTACGTATCACCGTAGAAGGATGGCAATTACAAAGGTGCTTTAATTTCACCACCATACAGTGAACTATCAAAAGGACTCCCTAAAAATGAACACAGGTAGGAAACGTCTCGCTTATCTGATGGGACTGGCGCTGCCTAAAATAAGATGCGCCGTGCTTCGTCATTGTTTTTGCGTTGTCGGCTTTCAATTCCCGGTTCATTTGTCACCCGGCGGTAGCTGTCTTGTCACACGCCACCCACCGGCCGTCCGGGTTTGTGCTGGTTTGAGCACGCCGGCGCGACCTCGGCACTACATCTATCCGCGTCATCCCCGCCCAATCCGATCCATCATCCCTCCGTCGGGCGACTGTGCCACGGCTGTCGAGCTGTTGCCTCCCGCCACGGCGAGCTGCCTCCTGCCACGGCCAGCTGCCTGCTGCCACGGCCAGCTGCCTGCCGCTACGGCCAGCTCCCTCCCGCCACGGCAGGCTGCCTTCCGACACGGCCAGCTGCCTGCCGCCACGGCCAGCTCCCTCCCGCCACGGCAGGCTGTCTCCTGCCACGGCGAGCTGCCTCCTGCCACGGCCAGCTGCCTGCCGCCACGGTTAGCTGCCGCTCACCACGGTCAGCTGCCTCCCGCCTCAGTCAGCTGCTTCCCACCACGGTCAGCTGTCTCCCGTCAGTCAGCTGCCTCCCACCACGGCCAGCTGCCTTCCGCTACGGCCAGCTCCCTCCCGCCACGGCAGGCTGCCTTCCGACACGGCCAGCTGTCTCCCGCCACGGCCAGCTGCCTTCCGCCACGGCCGGCTCTATATCTCCACAGTGAGCTCCCATCCAGCGCGGGGGCGGATGATCTTGATCGTCACCATCCGGCACTGATTTACCCGAGGCCGCAGTTCGGTCACATTCCACTCCGCCGTCGATCCGCTACGGCGTGTTGCCAGAGCCCCTGACGGCAGGCAGTCCGGCCGCTGGGTCGACCGCGCGGTGGGGAGAGGACAGCGGGGAGGTGCGACGCCTGGAGGTGGCCTCGGAGGGCGGGCCACTGGCGTTGCTGGCCGCTTGATGACAACTTAAGCGGATTCTGGTATGATACTCATATGTAATTGCACTTCTGCAACAGCATAGGGATGTGAACACGAGTGATTGGCAAAGCTATTTACATCGGAGCTGTTAACTTTTAGTGCATTTCTGACTTCATTTTGTGAGCTTGTTTGCATGTGAAAATGAACCGTCTTTTCAAAAAATTATGTATGGATGTGACAGCGTGTTTTACCTAGCTGGCACCAAAAGTGTATCCTCATGAAATGCACCAAGATGTTCCAAAAATAAAGATCTTTATAAGGTGGGATATTTACAGTGTTTGATCATTCAGAACAAAGGAAATGTGCAGTAAGGGCAAACACTTACATTGATGTTTTAGGACAACATTGCTTTTATGACCCATAAAGTAAGAATACGCGTATTGGCGGTTCTATGTTGCGTCGCCCGTATACCCGCTGCGCATAACGTGAGCTTCAAGCAGCAAGAGCCGTGACTGAAGACGATGCTGTAGTCAGGTTTCCGAGGGAAACAACTGCAGCTCTAATGGCCGCGTTCTCCACTTGTCCTGTTTGGAAGCTACAGCGGTGAGGCGAAAAGCAGTAGGTGACTTGGCGCAGAGTTGATCCAATGATATGCGGTCTGGACTATGCAGATGCATCGGTGATTACTCAGTTTCATGAAACGTAATGCCTGTGATTATAATCTTAATGCGCTAACCCAGCACTACAATGTTTTATCAATGAATACCAAGACGTCACACCGCAGCAAAACTCATTCTGCAAACCCTCAGATATAATGTTCATTCATCCCGCATGCAATGAGACCGCTTCTTTCAAAATATTAGCAGTCAATGTATCACCATCGCCGCCATCTTGCAGCGCTGCCATGCAGTGTTTTTACCGTGATCCAGAGCAGACCGCTCGGGGGGGGAGGGGGGGGGGGGGCTCGCCGCCCGGCCAGGGTCACCTCAATACTTTACATACCCTCTGCCCGCGGAGAGACACCCACGCGTATCGCGCACAGTTATTTGCCTGCGCTATCGCCGCGAAGGTTACTAAATTACCTTAGTGGTCTGTTTTTGCCTAGGCTCGTGTTGCCCAACGCTGTTGCCTCCCGCTCGCTCTCGGTGTTTGTCGCAGCTAATTACACGGCCGGGAACGGAACTAGGCTAACAAAGTCCGTCACAGAGTGCGTCAGATTATTCTACCCGCGAATTCAGTGCGAATGAGACAGGTGAGTCCATTCATCGGCGGGATTTCCGGAACAGCTCACAAACCATGAAGGAGCTGTCTTCGCCATCACCACAGCGACGTAGAGTAAAATGGGGACACTCGTCGCGCGCCAAATTTTAAGTTGTGGAGACGGCTTATCAGGGGAGGCAAGCTTTTACCTCTGCAGCATCAAAGCCAGCTTATGTCCTGAACAGGCGTCTACTTCATTTTCACCACTTGTTTCATCTAATCGCTTTTTAAACTATTCAGACGTCGCAATGTCGGCATTTGGGGGGAGGTCATCGTGCCAGGGGAGAAGTGGCCGATCACCGCACCACAGCTGAGGGAGACATTAATCACTATAAATGAGCCAGCATGCTTGGGTCGAGGATGAGAATTACCACCGGTGCCTATCCCGGTTACGTTTTCTCACGAGGACGCTTGAAGCAATAACGGCATATCTAGACTCGCAGCCACGCATATAAACCAACTTCGCTACAACGGAATGCAAGAAGGCGACAAGCCAGCAGTGGACGTGGAAAAAAAGAATACTGTATATAGCAATCTCGCTACGGAACTCAAGATGAAATAAACGACTCGTTTTCAGTTGACGCTCTTCCGCGGAGCAGTACAGGCTGTCAGAGCAGTAGGTGAAGTTGCACAAGGCTGCCCACTTCGGCCGCAGCCCGGGGTCGGTCTCTTGACTGGCGTGGTGACGCATTTGGGGTGTTCTTTTCAGAGAAAGCCCGTGCACCTTGTGCTGACCCGGCCTCGGCCACCCCTCCCCCCTCCCCCCCCCCCCCCCCCCCCTGAAGTCCAGCCAGGGCAAGTGAAACATCCAGCGGGCGCGATCTCTCTATCAAGCACTTGCATAAACATCGTGAGAGTGCGTAAACTGAGGGAGATTGCGTACAATGACCGTACATTGAAGTATGCAACATGCCGAGTGTTTCCGGACTGTTGCTGGCTTAAAGGAAGGCGACAAGCGTCGTAATAGTGAACATGCTGACCGCATTGCTGCAGGAACGTGGCCACAAAATACGACTCGCATTGCTGACGCTGAGTTGAAATCGCCCTGAGCGATGGCCTATACTGAGTTCTTCATCCGAACAAATGATGCAGCTTATGATGTACGAGCAGCGGCGGCTCCCACCTGATGAAGGAATATCCGATGTATCTCAAGGTGTAGCCGGCGAACGACACAAGGAGGACGTTGATGTGGCCGACCTTCCTGCAGATGGCGTCTGACCACCAGTTGAAGGGCAGCGATGCTAGGCCAGCCACCGTCATGGTCAGACCTGAAACGGAAGGTCAGGTCAGGTCGGCTCAGGCATCGCAGGTCAGAATTCAAGGCCACGCGGCGCCATGCAGAGCGTAATCATGCCACGCCGGGTGCGCTTACGCGACAGGGTCTACCGCAAAACGAGAGAACCAGTAGCACCTGATGCACTGAACCCGGACTCAGAGCGCTCACGACAGAGAAGCGAAGAGGGCGCGACAGCCGAGTGGTTAGCACCTTCGGCTCCCCGCTGGTTTCGGTTTCGAATCCCGAAAGAGCCCTGGCCTCTGAGCGCTAAGATGACCTCTGCAGTATGACACTCCACAGAAGTTTTTTTCCGACGATTGCGCTGCGTTCTCTCCAAAAAGCGACACCGATGCGGCCGCGCAGCGCACTCTGACGTCATCTTCAGCGTAGCTCTTCCCCATTCAGGTCTTGACACTTACACCGTTGGTTTACAAGTGGCGCCGATTCATGAATATTAACAAGCTGGGTGAGGCCAGCTGGCCGTGCTTCGTCGCTCACACCAAACTGGACACTCGAGATTGCACACGACGCTGCTTTGTACAAATGTTCGCACACGTGCTTTCGGTATGAGGTGAAGGTATGGTAGGCAGTTACGGTACATGCAGTATGCAAAGCTACCCATCGCCGCCATCTGGCAACATCGTGCAAAAGCACAAGGTGCTTGGAGGTAATCACCTTTGCGAACAAACGTGACCGAAAACAAGCTCGCAGAAAAAATAGATAAGTTGTGAGCTGTGACCGGTGCAACAAACTTTGAAGCGACCAGCGGGTAGAAAGACCACCGTACTACGGTCCGTTACATGGTATCTTTGGGATCAGTCCATTATGTCGGTACATCTAAAGATAGTACGTACCCATTAAATACGTTGGTGCCTGGAGACTCTTCAGGAAAACAAAGAGGAAGTTCTCCAAAAATCCCCACATGGATCCCAAAAGGGCGACAGCTAATATGAAAACGAGGGTCTCCGGGCGTTTCAGAATCTGAAACAGGACAACATGTTGATGAGAAGGTTGTCCCAACATGTGGACTGTACACACAACCATTTGGTATGAGGTTCAACGGCTACTTTCATTGCTACCCTGACAAAGGCTGGCATAACGGGCCTCATGCAGTGAATTAGAGAGAGAGAGAGAGGAGAAGAGAGCGAGAGAGAGAGGAGAGATGAGGAGAGAGAGAGACGAGAAAAAAAGACGAGAGAGAGAAGGAGAGAGAGAGAGCAAGAGAGAGAGAGAGAGAGAGAGAGAGAGGAGAGAGAGAGATCTGCATGTATACATATGTATATATATGAATCTTTATATATATATATATATATATATATATATATATATATATATGTGTGTGGTGTGTATATTCATATATGAATTTATATGCATTTATATATATATATATATATATATATATATATATATATATACACCATTTGGCCGAGGACACCACCTTCAAAACCCTCACCCACATTCCTGAAGATGAGATTCTATGGCGTGCACATGAACCAGTGTGTGCGCCCTTACATCCAAGATGGGTGCACGCGTGAGCACTAGTCTGCAGCCCTAATTTATATGCTCTTACGATCAACTTGGGTCCAACCAGACAGGCATCACCTTCACGTGGGTTCTAATAGCAACGGTCAGGGTCAAATGCATCGAGATCACCTATACATGCCGTGCCACCGATGCAGCGGCAGCACATACAGATTCTACTTTTCCCCACATTCCAAGGTTGGACAAGTCCAACTCATTGGGAAAGCTGGCCTGAGGTCACTGCGGGCCAACGCTGGGCAGAGGCCACGCCGTTCCACGGATTAGTCTGCCTGGTAACCACTTGTGCCACCCTAGTTTCAATGTCATCGGGGTACAATCTCTTTCGGTGTTATTTCGTATGTCGGCAACACAGAGGAGGTCCAATCCTACCTACCCGCTACTGGAGGAAGCATGGGGCCGCGAACGGCCGCTCCAGTGAGGGGAACGGTGGCTAGGTCCACGGGCGTGACTGGTAGGTCGTGGTCACAAATTTGCTAGGATGGTGCACATCGGCGTCGTTTTCGGTTTGCTTGACAGTGTGATGATTGAGGTCAGGTCAGGTCAAACTCGGAGGCGAAAAGGCTCGTGGCAGCTTCAGTAGATAGTTATTGGGCATATAGACGTAGACATAAAGACATCAGGCCAACAAAGAGTGACAAAGGCCCATCGAGGTCGACCTAACCCAGGTGCCGCACCCATCCTTGACTATATCTTACCACCTGACCTGCCTGAATGTAGCTATAGATGAGATCCTTAGGCAGATAGAACCTGTCCAAACGATGTTTAAATGTTGCTAGGGAGGGAATTCCCGCAACTTCGTTTGGCAGTCCGTTCCAATGATTCACTGCTCTTTGACTAAATGACACTTGCCTCTTCATAGTCCTATTCCTACCTTATGCTTATTGAAACTGGCTTCCTCTAAGTCTCGGCGTCTTTAACAGTGCTCCTTGTAGATCGACCATGTCTATCCCTCGCATAATCTTGAATACCTGTATTAGATCCCCTAAGTCTATAACATTTCGGTGAACACAAATTCAAGGCCTGAAGCCTTTCCTGATTTTTTAAGTTGCTAAACCTATTTATCATCGTAGCTGTTTTTCACTGCACTCTCTCAAGCCTATCTATATCTCTGTGGAAGCATGGGGATATATACACAATACTCTGGGCGTGGTTTGACATAACCTGAGTACAACTTTTGGACAGCATTCTTGCTCTTGTAATGGACATTGCTGTAATAAATCCCAGCATTCAAAGTGCCTTGCTCCTAGCAGCCCCACATGACTTTTTAGCTTTTAGGTCCCTGGAAATTATAACTCCTATCCGTCCTCAATCTGGTCCAACTTTCGGCCTCTCATCCTATAGGTAATATATCTCACTGTTTCGGCCAGGTAATCATAGCTGATTCAATGAGCCATCGCGTTTTCATCTTAGTGAGGCTTGTGCTGACACGTGCATGGCTTAATCTTTAAAACAAGCATATCACTTCTGGCAAGATCAGCCAGGTACCTAATACGAGTGAAGGAGTCAATAGCAACCGGCTCGATACGATTCACGCCAGCGCACCGAAGCGCGTCCGGAACCACGTGTCTGCGTGTAGACTGCCACACTAGGCGATACACTCTCACTACAAGGGTATATCGGGGAGAGCATTTCAAAGTCATTGTGGCACTCATGACGTCATAATAACGTTACACCAATCCTGCCATTTCATAAGTCATGCGTTGATCAAAATAAAAAATAGCATTGTTCAGGCGTTTATACCTAGCATCAGTGAGCGCGATTTCCATATATAACGGCCGCCAATTTACTCTCAATCAACGTTGTGCAGGGCATGATGAAGTGCTCAAACTATGACGCATTGAGGAGCATATTTACTGGACAGAGAATTGTGCTGTCTAGACCAGTGCTTTCCACTTTAAAAACGTACCAGTAGTTATAAATGAGCTTGTTTCGTCATATCTCATGCTTTAATATCTTCAAACGCGAACCATTCCTTTTAGTTCACCCCACTAGAAATGCCACCCAGTGTAACCTCATCAGTGTTTCAGCCCCAGCATACCTTGGTGACTTGACGGAAGTGGGCCTTTTCCGGCAGCGCCACCTTTAAGTTGCAGGCGTATAGAGTGACGACGGTGAAGACAACGAACAGGTCCATGGAGTAGAAGGCTGGGCCGTAATTCGTCTTGCCTGGAATCAACCACGTAGACAGCACATCAGTGCATGGCAGAAACATTGCAAGAGGACGTTGAGCACAAGTGATACAGATGCCAACGAAAGTAAAGGATTTCAGACCACTCAGACAAATGGATCTGGGCATAGCTGTGAGTCACGGTTTACGTGCAAATGTTCTTGCACAGCTGATTGGCATCTTAAAATTGATAAGGCTGATTTCGGGTAGGCGGTAAAAGTTGTCTTGTCCAAGTTTTGTATAAACCATACACCGGTAACAAACACCAAAGCAAGAGTTCAGCCTCAGGACATGGGTCCTTAGTCCGGGCGTACGTAGCCAGCCTGTTCATCAGGACCGCAACCTCTTCAGGTGCCAGCCTGTCCAGGTTTCCAGCTTGCATAACCATCCCTGTCCCGCCCACAGCAGTCCCAGTCCTGGACAGGCAGTCCCTAGCATGGCCAGCATTCTCAGCCTAGGCGTGCTCCCTCCCCCCCCCCCCCCCCCCCCCCCCCCCCCCCCCCCAGCACGGGATCGAGCAGTCCCCAGCATGGACAGTGCTCCCCAGCCGGAACATTGGTCCCAGCGTGGACGGTGGTCTCACCAGCCTGGACTTGGTCCAGCATGGACAGTGCTCCCCCAGCCTGGACATTGGTCCAGCGTGGAAGGCGGTCCCCAGCGTGGACAGTGCTCCCCAGCCTGGACATGGTCCCAGCGTGGAAGGGGTCCCCAGCGTGGACAGTGCTCCCCAGTCTGGACATTGGTCCCAGCGTGGACGGTGGTCCCCAGCGTGGACAGTGCTCCCCAGCCTGGACATTGGTCCCAGCGTGGACGGTGGTCCCCAGCCTGGACATTGGTCATAGCGTGGACGGTGGTCCCCAGCGTGGACAGTGGTCCCCAGCCTGGACATTGGTCCCAGCGTGGACAGTGGTCCCCAGCCTGGACATTGGTCCCAGCGTGGACAGTGCTCCCCAGCCTGGACATTGGTCCCAGCGTGGACGGTGGTCTCCAGCATAGATAGTGGTCCTCAGCATTGACAATGGTGCACAGCCTGAATAACAGCCCCTCAGCACGAGCAGTGGCTCCCATTATCCCCTTTGCATAAGGTACTAGGCGGTTATACAAATTGCTGCGAATGGCAAAACTCTAAGGCGTATCAAACTGTGGCGAAACTCGTGCTATCACAACCACAATTAAGCACAGCTAGGGTACTGGAGGCGTCTTTGCGCTTTTCACGTAACTGTTTATTCTACTGGCACCTGATGTCTCGCCGCATTCCACAGGCACCTAATCCTACAGTGCATGATTAGGTGCCTACAGTCATACAAAGCTGGATAAACAAGGGATGCAGCCATATGTTTGCCGCCAGACCTTGCAAAATAACCGGTTAAGTTTATTGTTGAGACAAGTTTATTTCGTCATCATGTACCGTTTCGTCATTTGTTGCGATTGAGCATTTGGTCCCATGAAACCAATCATACAATACAAGAACGGGTCTGGCGTTGAAGCTTATGGTCATTTTGATAGCCCAAACGATAAACCATTGGTGCCGCTCATGCGTACTCCATTATTCGAGAACTTCGGAGTTGCTACCAACTTACATTCCTGTATTGGTACCAATGGAAATTGATTTGGTTCCAATTACATCCCAATTAAATTTGGTAAAAATTGCCATGTCTAATCAACATGGGTGTTTTACAATTGCATGAGATTTTAAACGTAAATGACAGCTTGAAGATCATTCAGTGTAGTTGACAGTTCTGTCCTCCGTAAGACCTAGACCACACTAGTTTCTGAGCTACGCACCCGCGAAGATGTGCTGCCTATTCCGTGCAGACCATTTCAATGCCATCTAGGCATGCATGACGTCACAGAAACGTCATTCAAATCATATCATCCCACTGGCCATGCCAGATTCAAGGACAAGAAGAATGTAATCGTCCAGTCGCTCACATCTAACATTCGCGAACACGATTTCTAGACATAACGATCATCAATTGCCTGTCAGTCAATGTAGTGCAAGCTGTGCAAGGTTCAAACACGAATCATGCTTTTTGTTACATGGGACAAAAAGCTGGACATGGCTGCCAGTCATTACGGCAATAAGACTTGCAATCGAATAACTCAAGAATGCCGTCATAACAAAGTATGTGAATGCAAGTAAAACGCCTTGAAATTATGGATAAATGTGCAGCAATACCACGAGAAAGGGCCAAAACACTAGAGCAATATTTTCCAACACTAGAGCAATAGTATATCAATAGTTTGCAAGTAAACTCATTCCATCAAACTTGCTGCTTGTTTCGATAACTTCAAATCATTCTTTTTCACATTGCTGGGTTCAAAAGAGACTGTCGATTTCGGCCAACACGTTCGTGGAAGATACAGCCGCTTGGCCACGGCCCAGTTCATTTGCTGTGCGTGGACAGGTCACCCTTCTTTATAAACCAATTCGGCCGGTTTTTTACGACTAGTTTACAAACTTCTTATACTTAAAGCCTTGTGGAGGATATATTTTATGTTTCATGTTGGTCCAAAACGGCACAGGGGGGTGGGGGCATAAAATAACCTGGGAAGTGGAAATAGGAGTGAATCTAGGGGAGTAGAGGTGCACAAGCCCGCGAATTTGGCGGACGTTTTTCAAACGCAGCGCACAGAATGCTTGAAAACCTAACCAACCAGCATAGCAAAATGCTTCGATGCTTACCATGCCACAACTTGTTACGGTGTAAGTGTTGCGGTGCATAGTGTGTCGCTTCAGCTTTATCGATGGCAAAACGAGTTTGAAGCTTGTGACCGTGTGAGAAGGAGGATGGTGGCTCCATCACAGAGGTACGCACGATGTGACTATAAAGGTAGCAAGTTTCAAGGTTGGACTTTGGAACTATAAACGGTATATGACATATTTACATAGTGGCGGAGCCGTCGTTCTTTTAAATGTTGCTTTTGGAATTGGTGGCAGGTGGCGCACCTAGGTGCAAGCCACTGCTAGTGAGTCATGAATTATCAATCATTTTAGATGCACTAACATTTCGGAAAGCGGCGCTGGTGGGCGCGATCTGTGGCTGCTGGGCGGCCTAGTTGGGCACTTTGTGTTGCCTCGCTTGTTATGAGCACATGAGCAAATGTTTTGACGTCGAATAACTTGCGCCATGAATGAGCCTGGCGTGTGGTTTCAATCGGCATGGTTGTGCTCCGTACGTTAGGCTTGAAGATAGCTAGTTATATTTTTAGGAAGGTATATGATTTAGAATATGTCATAAGCTTAGAAAATATGACATCTTTAGAATGTCTTAATCTATTCGGCTGTGTTATCACCATATCTTAGTCTAAGATCAGATAGCAAATTGAGAAAAGCTTCAGTGAGCTATCCTGATCTTTTTTGCATTCGTCCTTTGCATTCAGATGATAAGACCGCTAAAATGCACACCCGCGTTGTTAGCACTTCTTGAAAATGATGAGAAAAGATACACGAGACGCACGGAGACAATGGTTATTGTTGAATCTTGCTTTGAATGACACAAATAATGGTGAGACAGATGGCTAATCGCGGGTTTCTTGAAGGAGAGAGCTCGGGGAGCTTGTGCACCTCTGTAGGAGAAGTAAGAGACTCAAGATTTGTGGAATAAACACAATAAGCGTCTCACAGACCATCCCGATGTCAAGAACTAAAATATAACGGACTCGGGAGATCCCTACGCTATTTGCCTTGTGCATAAGGGTGTAGACATGTGATTATGCGCTCGTTTTGGTTGCCCTTGACTATGAGGGTTGCGCAGAGATGCTGCAGAGCACACTTCAATCTCATGCCGTTTGTCCACCAACCAATGACATTGGCGCGCGCACGGCACACGCATCGTTTGGACGGTGCCTAGATTTAGTGCCAAACTGCCATATTTGCCACTGCAGTGCGATCGCTATGAGGACAGCGATCTCGGTGCTGTCATATTGAAGGCCTCTACAGCCCTGAGATGTTTACACGGTGCGGATTGGTTGACGGATGTGGCGTGTAATGTAACCTCAACGCTAAATGGCTGCCTTAGATGCAGTATCGTGTAGGGCGTGCGGACACATTATTTTCAGATCCCGAAACTTGCAGAGCTCGCGCGAAGCGGCCGTACGCCTGTGTGTGTGCAGCAGATATATTCGATTGTAAATGCCAGGAGTAGGCTGAGCTGTTGCTACGAAGGTACTGCTAAGCTAAAGGCATCTGCAAACGACGTGGTAAGTTGAAGCTTTGCGATTTATGGGCCCATCATTCCGTTCAAAACACTCTAACGCCGGTCAAAGGGCATGCTTAGTTTGATTTAGTTTCGCGTCAAACTAGCAACATTCACCATATGCCGTCCAAACGGGATTAAGTGACAGCTTACCAGGCGTGCTCACTAAGTCGATGATGACACCGACGAGTGGCGGAACGATGATGGTGGCAGCAATTGCCGTCACGCGCTGGCGGCCAAAGTTCTGCCCTGGCGTCTTGTGCTGCCTCACCAACGCGAGGTTAGTTGCGTCCAGCAGCGTGAAGGACGGCGCCATGAAGAACACGCCCACCATCCGCAGTGCGAAGTACACCCAGAACGTGGTCCGGCTGGAGGCTGGCAGGCCGGCGCTGGGCTGGCACTCGAGCTGGCACTGCGGCGGGCAGCGCAGTGCCGCCAGCGTCGGCAGCGCCAGCTCCGAGCCGTTGCCGGTGAGACGTGCCGGCAGCAGACAGCCGTCGCCGTCGAGCGGCAGGCTGAGGCGCGCGCCGGGCGCCGCCGTCTGGCTGGCGTCGCCGGCGCACGCCTGCAGCGCCGCCTCGCCGTCCGGACAGATGAGGCGGCAGTCCTGGCTGCGTGACAGACTTCCGCAGTTCGGCGGCGGCCAGTCGGCACAGCCCAGTGTGCTCTGGTTGGGTGAGGCGGCTAGCGCGCGCGGCGTCGTCAGTGGGCTCGGCGGCACGAAGAGGAGCGCCTGGTGGACTACGCATTGTAGGATAACGCAGACTACGTAAAGCTCCCGGATTCGCCCCGTCCGGTCAGCCATATACCCTGCGCACACAGGGACAGCGCAGATCAGCGGCGACGCATTCAGGTCAGCGGTGGCACACACAGGTAGCACAGATCAGCAGCGGCGCACAAAGACAACACAGGTCAGCAGCGGCGTGCACAGAGACAGCACAGATCAACAGTGACGCACACAGACAGCGCAGACCATCATCAGCGTACACAGATACAGCACAGGTCAGCAGCGGCGCAAACAGGGACAGCACAGGTCAGCAGCAGCACAAACGGAGACAGCAAAGGTCAGCAGCGGCGCACACAGACAGCACAGATCAGCAACGGCGTGCACAGACAGCACAGATTAGCATCGGCGCACACAGATGAAGCACAGATCAGCAGCGACACACACAGGCAGCACAGACCAGAAGCGGCGCACACAGAGACAGCGCAGATCAGCAGCGGCGCAAACAGGGACAGCGCAGGTAAGCAGCGACACACACAGAGGCGGCACAGGTCAGCAGCGGCGCACACAGAGGCGGCGCAGGTCGGCAGAGTCGCACACAGAGGCAGCATAGGTCAGTAGCAGCACACAGGGATATCACAGGTCAGCAGCGGCGCACACAGACAGCACAGATCACCAGCGGACACACAGGGGCAGCACAGGTCAGCAGCGGCATGCACAGAGACAGCGCAGGTCAGCAGCGGCGCACACAGGGACAGCGGTGAATCAGAGGGACTCAGCATTGTCAAACGCATGCACACGCGCTCCGGTTAAAGCGAGAGAATGCATATAATATTACATAGGCACGCTGAGCGTTCTTGAGACGGCCAAGGCATTTCAAATTCGACGGTAGTCTGGCTGGCAGTATCTGAGAGGCAAAAATGTTTCTTGGCAGAGCAAAGGCCAACGGACAGGTGCTGACGTGCAAAAGAAACGGGGCTTTTAACCCAATTGGATGCGTTGTGTTCATACGTGACTAGGGTTGCACTGTGATCGGGCCCCAGGCGTGGAAGCAGTTTAGCTATCCCTCCGCGAGGACAGCTTATCTTCTCGTCTACTTGCCAACCGTACACCTAACTCTCGTCGATAATTGCTCGACCGATTTTGTTCTATCTTCTCCTGATTCACCTTTCACCGAGCATTTCCCGGACAATCTTCGCTTCGGCTCATCACTTGCATCTGCTAACAGCTCACTAAGTACTACCTGGCCAATCTCTTCACTGTTGATCCCTTCCCCATGCTCACCACTGACCGATCACAGCGGCGCCGACCCTCCCATCGCACCAGCTCACACCCACTGATCACAGCGGCGCCGACCCTCTCACCGCATCAGCTCACATTCACCGATCACAGCGGCGCCGACCCTCTCACCTCTCACCGCACCAGCTCACACTCACCGATCACAGCGGCGCCAACCCTCCCACCTCTCACCGCACCAGCTCGCACTCACCGATTACAGCGACGCCAACCCTCTCACCGCACCAGCTCACACTCACCGATCACAGCGGCGCCATCCCTCTCACCGCACCAGCTCACACTCACCGATTACAGGGGGTCCGAGGAAGGAGGCGACCGGCATGAAGACGTAAACCTGCGCCACGTCGGCGTACGTCAGGCCCAGGTCCGTCATGTGCAGCGTCATCAGCGGCAGGATCGAGACGCCGCCTGGAGGCAGAGGGGAGACAGAGGGTGTCGCGCGTCGTTGCAGACGCGGCAGATGGCTCGTAGGCGCTATCCTTCGGCACCAGAGGTGGCCGACGTGCTCGGTTAGAATCCCGCTGTGATATGAGTGGAGGCGCTTTGAACAGCTTTGACGTGATTATTTTGAGATCAAACCCTTTCTGTCAATGTAGATATGCATTTGGTAGAATGTAGTGAGGATATGTGACAACGATTTTTATATTTGTGTATTTTGGCGGAAGTTCTGAACACAAATTAATGCCATGTATACGAGATTTAGTGGCAATGCATAAAACGCTGTTTGTGAACAGCCCCCAAAATGCAATGACCTGCTGCAGACATCTTCGACTAAATAAACGAAAACCCAAGCAGAGCGAGGAGGTGGAATCCGCCCCTGCCTGTAAGCTGTTTAACATAGAATGTTCGTCAGGTACGTAGCGGCGTCTCGAGCCACAGCCACCATGTTTTTCTAAGAAAAACGCCAGCGGTAGCCGTACACGGTTCGCAGACGGCACTCCAAGCCGAGCACAGTCGTCATAGCCGCGTAGACTGCACCGCAGCATGCGCTCATGCACGACGCGGTGCGGCAGCCCATACAGGGCAGGTGAGAAGTGTCATTACCTGGAGATGCAGCGACAGCGCGCAAACATCGCACCAGCATCGCGCGAGCAGTGCACGAGCTGTCAGGCAAATGCATACAGAGTCGGGATACCCGATCACATTAAATTTGATATGCCCATATTTGGGTGCCGCTAGAAAAGGCTGGCAATACGCCTGTTTGAATCTGCATGCACGGTGAGAGCAGGTTCTGCCAGAGATCCGCGGACGCTGCTGCATAGCCAACAGGACACGGACCCAACTAAGTTCGAGGTGCTTTGAGACGTCCAAAAGCGAGGAAGCGCGTCCAACGCTGTAGAAAAAAGACATCTGTATGACATCACCTGATATGGTTGCTATGGGTACCGGCCATACGTATAACGCAACAGATATGCTATGTATTTGTTCCTTACTCACACGCGTTTATTGCACACATTCCAGCTTACACAACGCGCAAACAAAATAACTAACTGCTGGAAAACCACCATGTTACATTGTGCCTGCAGAACAGTAACAGTTATTGCGTCAGAAAACAATAACCAACATGATTCTGAACACGGCACCGAACAGGTGTGCTGCCAAGGGCGGCCGCCCGTAATATGCTGTGGTCGAGACGTCACATAACAAAAGGCAATTGATGATTCTTAGCCTTCATCGGTATTAACCACAGTAAATCAAGTCAACCTAAGTCAACCACAATAATTTAAGCTCTTACCTTCCACATGAACATCAATGTCTTATGTTACGACATCTGCTTTAATTTTTATCAAAGTGGTCTGCTGAATTGGTTGGTATGCAGCACCCGTGTTTTCCATTACTGAAACTGGAAGAATTTAGTGTGTACGAAAGATACGGGGGAGAGAAAAGCTTGCCGGTAGCTGTCCAAAGCAGGATAAGGCATACTCTTTAATGGTATATGCCTAAGTAATCATTAACATGCATATAACACTATATATATATATATATATATATATATATATATATATATATATATATATAGTGTGTGTGTGTGTGTATATATATATACATCGTATGTGGGCACGCGCGCAGCCGTGTGTGTGTGTGGTGTGGTGTGTGTGTGTGTGTGTGTGTGTGTGTGTGTGTGTGTGTGTGTGTGTGTGTGTGTGTGTGTGTGTGTGTGTGTGTGTGTGTGTGTGTGTGTGTGTGTGTGTGTGTGTGTGTGTGTGTGTGTGTGTGGTGTATGTGTGTGTGTGCAGTGTGTGTAAATAAATGAGGCTTGTTGTTTGCGAGTTCACCTGGGTTCCCATTTGGTGCTTTCCTTTGGTGACTTGCCGTAGTACCATTGATCACCAGTAGAAAGGAGCTTAAAAGTTGGTGTCTTTGATCAATATAGGCCAGAATTCAAAGACAAACCTCGAAATGTTTCCTTTGCAGTGTTTTCGTCAGATAACTATCAAACTAGAGAAGTAGTTCACATATAGTGCGACCAATTTTGAAAATACAACACCGCGCATCCGTGGTTACACACAGTGAGCGATATTCGATACAAGACGTGATTTTCCTTAACAAAAATCAAGCCAGACACGGACATGAAATTGAAATGCAGGGACGCCTCTATGCGAGCTCATTTGCGTCAGCTTATAAGGTATCTGGGCCATTCGGTTCAATAAAGGTCGAACAACGCATTAATCCTGATTTGTCTCTAAAGTGCCCTCACAGCTTTCGCTGTAACCGCCTTTACCTTTTGTCCACCTTTTCAAAGCAAAAGATCACTGGTGTTCAGATCAGGTCAACGATCCCATTTTAAGCTCAGAAGGTCAGGGTGACCAAAATCGTTGAAATTAAAAGGCCATGAGAACTAAACGTCCTAAACTACCCAAAGTTGCAACTTCTCAAGTGATCAAGCGGTTTGGTAAAGCCTAGCAGAAGCTCTGGACCTCGCCCGCATCGGATGGCTACTGATCCTTTTCCGTCGATATAAGCCCGGCGGACATGATGCACGCGGCCGAATCGCAGCGATCTGCAGTGATTTCCTCGGAGTTCCGCTCCTCTGGGTGCGGGACTACTTTCTTGAAGAGGCGCTCGCCAGGGCCAGATCAGGCCAGGCCTCAAGCGCCAGGGCCAAATCAGGTCAGACGTAAGGCGTCAGGGTCCTGTCAGGTCAGACGTCTGGAGCCAGGATCAGGTTAGGTCAGGTGTTAGGCGCCAGGGCCGGGTCAGGTCAGGCCTCAAACGCCAGAGCCAGATCAGGTCAGACGTAAGGCGTCAGGGTAGGGTCAGGCCAGTTGTTAGGCGCCAGGTTCAGGTCAGGTCAGGCGTCAGGCGCCGGATGCAGGCGTGCAGGGTCCGCGAGATTATTGTTCTAGAGTCGGTGGTTCTATTCGATCACCTCTCCTGAATGATTCCAAGACGGCAGATTCAGCGCCAGTCCTTCCCCGAAGCAAACAACCAGGGGTTCTTCCGATTCTTGGTCAAGCTCTGGGGTCGTTCTCTCTGATCTGACCTAAGAGTCAATTGATTGGTTCGAAGATACCGTGCGCGAATGAGCCACACGGTACCAGATCAGCCCCGCAGTCCGGATCAGTCCCTCCCACGGTACCGGGCCCGGGTCAGCCCTCCCCCTCCCGGTGCCGGGCCCGGGTCAGCCCCCCCCCCTCCCCTTATCCGGTACCGGATCAGCCCGGCAGTCCGGGTCAGCCCTCCCCTGTGCTGGGTTCGGGTCAGCTCCCTACACATTCTCCGGTGCCGGGTCAGTCCCTCCCCCGTATCGGGCTCGGGTCAGCCCCCTACCCATTCTCCGGCGCCGGGTCAGCCCCGCGGTCCGGGTCAGTACATACCCCGTACCGGGTTCGGGTCAGCCCCCCCCCCCCCTCATTCCCCGGTACCGAGTCAGCCCCTTCCCCCCGTACCGGGCCCGGGTCAGGTCCCCCCCTCTCCATTATCCGGTACCGGGTCAGCCCCGCAGTCCGCGTCAGCTCCCCTTCCTTCTCCGGTGCCGGGTCAGCCCCCTCCCCATTCTCCGGTGCCGGGACAGCCCCGCTATCCTGCTGAGGCTTCGAGACAGTCGTTGCCGGCTGTGTGCGTGTGGACGACGATCAGGTCGCGCGTCCCGGGCTGGCCGTGGCGACCGTCGACTCACCGATACGTCTTGGCGTTCTCTTCCGTCCCAGCCCGCTTAACGATGAAAGAGCCTCGTGTCACGTCACCGACCCCCGGGGTTCTGCAGGGAGGTGTCGAATTGGTGGACCAAACTTAAACCCAACTTAAGATTGTTCTCCTAAATTTTGGAATAACGTGACCTTCGATGATTCGTGTCTTTTTGTGCCAAGGCTGCTCGAGTAGTGTCCAAATTGCTTGACACTAAATCGAGCTTGAATGCACGCGATGAATATTTCACTGTATGTTGAAATGAGTAACTGAACTTCCTTGCACTTTGATCAACTGGAGGCTCTTGTGCGCAATATGACACCCTGTTTCCACTTGATGGCAACATTATGCGTCTTTCAGAAATCAGTCAGCCTAAGTGCTAAGATGGGTGCAATTGCAACGAAGCAATGTGCAATAACAGCTTTGCATAAGCTCACCAAATTTGTCATGGCTCCAGTACCCGAACTAGCACATGAACTTTTTTTTCTCCAAGGTGTTCAGTTGAATGGTTGATAGCTAATATAAACTTGATAGGTTTACCCCGAAAGATTCAGAAGTCGTCCGGTGATACGGATGAGCCTGCTTATATCGCTTACGCGGACGCTGGTTCGTATGTGATCCCATGGTAAAAGTCAGAAACACACGAGCCGGCCAAAATTGTACCTGTACAGATGCTTGTATCTGTTGTCCGTGTAATGACACCCGTGGGTGTAGAATACAGTAAGGCAGGTCTGGTGGTATTCACCATCTAGTCGCATTTACACAAATTTGTCATGTTTTGCATCGCAAGATAACCAAACTGATAGTATTTCCCGCTCGCGTCTCTCGGCTTTCTCCGTTTATTGCTAGGTCCCAATAAGTCCCTGACAGATTTTTTGCTCTCTGTTTTGTGTTATCTTAAAAAACAGCCAAAATTCTACCGCCAACGTGTGTCTCTTTAACATTAGGCATCAATCACCTGCGTTAAGGTTACCCATGTCCCCTTCGGGTTTTTCCTCCAACGATTAATGGAAAATATGCAAACTATGCATCTTTAATCAGGAATTATGCAGTGGGTTCAAAGTACATTTGCTTGTCAGGCTGCGCCATGCTTGTCTCTGTAGGAATGCTGAAGAGCTGGCGGTTGCCTTCGCTGTCAGTCATCGTGAGATGAAATCATGAATATGATGATTAAGAAAGTGTGCTTTAATATAATCGCATTCATACTTGATCGGTGTACAAGTACACACTCTGATGTCGCACAGTAATTGTGCTATTCTACAAAAACTGATCTGTTCAAT